GTTGAGAAGGGAACTCTTCCCCAGAGGTCTTCTGAGCGCTTTCCAACCTGAGGTGTTCATCCTTGATCATAGTGTGGAAAAACGTTCCAGTTTTACTTATAGGGCTGTAGAGGGCCTGTTATTTCCTAAGTGGGAAACCTATTCTGGAATAGATTCCACTTTCATCCTTTGGTCTAGAAGCTGTCCAGGCTTAAGGAAACAAATGCGTAATAGCTAAAGTGGGTGGGAACTCAGATGGATGGTGACCCTCTGCTTCCCCCGTCATGGATTAGTCATTCCTGTTCTCCCAGGAGCCAGGCAAGCCAGGCTTGGCCTAGGGTTTAAGGCTGCAGCAGAGGGCTTCAAACCCAAAAGGAGAAAAGGAAGAGGGGAGAGACGGCAGCAATTTTCTCCCAAGTTTGCTCTGCCCACGAGAGAGAGCTCAGTTGGCCCAGTGGACAGAAAGCGATGCTACCAAGCCAAAGGTGGGTGACTTTTAATCTGCGGCCCTCGGGCCTGTCCTTCATTGTTTTTGATCAGACATTCCTCTAGGTCGTATAGCCCTTGTGTACAAGTTGCCGTACCACGGTCACTTTGGTTTCTGTGAGGCTGAACTCTGACACTGATGTATCAAATGCATTAATGGTTGGCTGCCCAATGCGGTTTGTTATGCATCAGAGAGTTGGACAATGACTAGGGAGGTTAGAAGGAGAATTGACACATTTGAGCTGTGGTGCTGGAGAAGAGTATTGAATGTTCCATGGACTGCAAAGAAAACAAACAGATCCATCCTAGAGAGGGTTAAACCAGGCTACTCCTTGGAGGTAAGGATTCTGGGGCTTCGTCTGACATACTTTGGACATATTGTAAGGAGAGACAGGTCCTTGGAGGGGGACATCATGCTTGGCAGGTAGAGGGACAGCGCAGGAAAGGAAGACTCTCTATGAGGTGGATTGGTTCACTAACTGGGGTAATCAGGATGGGTGTGTCAGAGGCAATGCTGTTGGCACAGGATAGAGCAGGGTATAGGCCTGTTGTACATAGGGTCGCTATGAGACACAAAAGACTCGACGGCACATAACAACAAGAACCCAATGTGGACAGAGAGTAGGGTGGAGCTGCCCGATTAAAACAAGCTTGGAAGAAGGAATGGCATCCACTTCCATAATAGCTTGCCTCCAGAACCTTATGAACCTGGAGAGAGGATGAAAGGCGCCCAAGTGTCGAGGACTCTCCTTCACAGGGTAATCGCTATGGGTTGCCAGCTACTCGATGGCACTTAACAACAGCAGCAACGATGAGCTGAGATCCAGTGTAATCCTTTCCCTGGGGAGCTATCAGAAAGGGTATTCACCCCCCAGGATGCGACCTGTAGGAAAAGCCAATGAGATGAGAGGAGGGGCCACAAAGGTATGGCCTGCTCCAAATAAGTACCAGCATTTCGACAGCATTGTATCTGTGGGGGTCTCTTCTGACGTTCAGCTCTGAGAATCAGAGCCAACTTCTGGTCACCGGCTGTCTATTAGTCTTTGGCCGCTGCTCTTCACCGTCCTCTGCCGCATTAGCCTTCCAGCCTACTTACTCTCTGCTTCTGACGTGGGGGATTTAGAGGAGACTCCAGCTGACGCCATATTGAAAGGTTTGGAACCTGATAGACTTCTCCAAAGTAAGTTGGGAAGGGTTTTGAGCAGGCCTTGAGCTTTATGTCGGGGGTGCTGAAGGGTAAGGAGAGCCGCAGCCCCTGGAGGGCGCAGTGATGACCTGAGATCTCCCAGTTGCTCTTCTTGTTGGCTGTAGAATTGGAACTGACCCATAGCTCACCCTCTAGTGGTTTTCAGAGGTGGTAAACTATCCCTTCTTTTTTGTACACTTCCTCATGGAGCTGAGCCCCTGTGTGACATCCCACAGCGAGAGGGTTACACCAGATCCCAGCTCAGCAAGGGAATGACTAAATCATAACTGTCAAAGCAGAGACTCTTGGGCTGTGATGTGGGGGAAGAATATAAACGGTTCCATGGATTCGAACCTCGGGACATTGCGGTTGTCCCTACAGTCAAACCACTAAGCCATCAGAACTCCCCTTGACATCTCCCCACCAACCACAAATCTGGTTTCATTCATAAGCATGATAGTTGTACATTCTGCTTTGAGGAGCCCCTGGGCCTAGTCGGTAGGGAGTTGTACTGCCAACCCAAAGGCAGCAGGTTGGAATCTAGCCTCTGCTCCGAGGGAGAAGGATGACAGTCTCTTTGCATGCAATTTACCTCTGCTGAAAAGTCCCTGGAGGCTCCACTCGGGGCTGCTTGGACTTGGTGGCAGTAGGTCCTTTTTCTTACTTGGAGGAAGCAGCTGTTCCCTAGTTCTACCTGAGGGGCTCAACCCCAGCCCCCCACTGAATAATGTTCCGGATTCGCTCATAGGACATTGTGAGGCCATTGTTTCCTAAGCAGGTGGCCCATGTGTGTCCTCATCCATCTCAGTTTGGGAGCCCCACCTTGTTGTTGTTGTGATGTACCCCCTTGGGTTGGGACTGACTCCTAGCTGGCCCTCTGCACGTGTCCAGGAGGAGGAAATAGCACCGGAGGGGTTGCCCAGGGTTCCCTCAGAGTGGCTGCTGGATAAGGAAGGGGCTCGGCTGCATTGATCCTTCTCACTATCCTCCAGAGCCCCACCCAGGACTAGAGACACAGTGGATTAAGGTGTCAACCCTGTGGGACCTTTGACGGTGCCTTGATCCAATGCCAAGGAGTATAATCCTCTCTGGGTGAAGACATTCTAGGAACACTCCCCTCTCTGATAATGTCTGTTTACTAATAAACAGGGATAGTAGTGGTTAATTGTGATCAGGTGATCATCGTGACTGAGGTGAGAGGGAGGTCCTCAGGCTGGCAGCCAGCTCCAAACACTCGTGAGCATCTGAGCGCAGTGTGCTAGCCTTTACTCCCTGCAGATCTCAAGCCTACTTCTCCTCCACGCCTGTTCGTAGGTGCTCTGGTGGTCGCTCTGCTGGTCCTGAGGTTCCTCTCCCTCTGGAGCTTGAGAACTTGCACTCAGCCTTCTGACCAGGCTGATGCTGACAAGACTGTGAGCTGACACGACATCCAAGAATCTCTACACCGTTGGAAAATGGAAAAGGTGGGTGTTGTGGCTTGTACCAACTAGCAAGGCTTCAGAGAATCTGGAGGGTGGGTATGGGGGGCCTTAGCTCTCGCTGCCGACCACTAACCACATTTCCCGTTGGAGCAGGAGAGCGGCATGGGCAGACAGAACCCGTCCAGACTCGTGGACCTGGCCGCCCAGAGCCTTTTAGAGCATGAAGCCGCTGCCATGGCCGCCCTGCAGTCACTTCCCAGGGAATGCTTTCCACCGCTGTTCGTGTTGGCGGTTGCGAGGAGACGCTGCAGGACGGTCCAGGCGATGGTGGTGGCCTGGCCGTTCCCCTACCTCCCCCTGGGGGCGCTGCTGGAAGCTCCGCAGTGTGATCAGGACATCTTGAAGGCTGCCCTCAATGGCCTCGATGTGCTGCTTGCCCATGACTTTCGACCTACACGTTGGAAACTCCAAGTGCTGGACCTCAGAAGCGACACTTACACCAACTTCTGGCACGTGTGGGCTGGGCTGGGGGACGGGATCTCAGCGAGCCCCTTACGGGAGAGTGGGGCTGCGCAGCCCAGCCCAGAGAGGCACAGAGTGCGGCCCTCCAGCACAGGGGAGAAGAAGCAGTGCTCCGCTGAACCGGGAGTCCTGGTGCTGCTGTCGGACCTGTGCTTCACGGAGCCCTCTCCAGATGAATTGCTCACTTTCCTTGTGAAGAGGGTCGAAGAGAAGAAACTACTACCACAACTGTGCTGTCGGAGGCTAGAGTTTCTTGCTGAGCTATTGAGATTTCACATTGTCAAAAAGATCTTTGATAAGGTACACCTAGACTGTATGGAGGAGGTAGAAGTCAGCTGCCACTTGCAATTAGATCACAAGGCTAAATTTACTCAATGCCTGCGGAAGATGGTTCATCTGAACAGCTTGTACCTTGGTCGAGATTTTCTTGACCACTGGACCCACTGGGACGCAACAGTGGTAACGAGCCTGTTTGCTCAATTCTCCATCGTGTTCTTACACCTGCAGCATCTCCGCCACCTCCACATACACTTAACCAGCTCTCTTCCCGGTCAATTGTATCAGGTCTTCAGGTACCTGGAGGCCCCACTAGAGTGCCTCTACATTACTGATTCTTGTATGACAGGATCTGACTTGGAATACTTGTCCAGGTGTTCGAGCACCTGCCGCCTGAGTAGCCTGCATCTCAGAAATGTGCAGATCGTAGGTGTAGCTGCTGTGTTCCTCAACATTCTGCTGGAGAGAATCTCAGGCACCCTGAAAAAACTGGACTTGAGCGGCTGTGGCATGACTGACATCGAGTTCACAGCCCTCCTGCCTGCCCTGGGCCGATGCTCCCAGCTCGATTTCCTCAGGTTCAGTGGAAACTCGCTCTTGATGGACGTCCTGGAGAGCCTGCTGCTGTGCACCCTCCCTCAGAACAAGATCACGATGCTGGAGGTGCCGCTCCCTCGGGAGTGCTGTGTGAGCTGCGGAGGAATGAGAATCATAGACATGAGGGCTGTGCAGAATTGGCTGGAGCAGCTGAGTCAGGTCCTGGAGGACCTAGGACTGGAGTTGGACTGGTCAGAGCAAGACCTTTACCAACAGAAAAACTTTACATCAATAATCTTCAACTTTACACTGCAATTATCTTCCATTTCCTCAATTCCTGTCTTGTGGGAAAGGAAATAAACGTGTTTGTCCAAGCCAACCCCTTGTTTTGTTTCTGTTACAGTAACGGTCAATAATTTGTTGGGGAGGGTCTCTAGGTCGGGCATTTCCAGAACCCCTTAAGGACGGAGGACGGGGTCGGGTCTTTTTGCCCGAGGGAAAGCGCCTCCGGAGAGGCCTGTGTTGAACTGCTGTGTGCCCGGTGCACCGGAAGTGGACGTGTCGAGTAGCTAGGGTCCACGTGTCTTCCTACAGCGAGGAGGGTCTGGGCGACGCCCTCTGGCCTCTGCCTGCAGCCCAGCCCAGGCCGCCTTCCTTAGGCGCTGGCTTGTCCTGAGGGCCGTCAAGTCCTCCAGCTTCGCTGCTGACTTCCGGCTCATCCTCCCGCTCAGCAGGGCTTCAACCACCCTGACCAGCTGCCCTGGGTGGGTGCGGGTCACAGGCTCCTCCCAGCTCCCTGTCCTCCTTCTGCCCTGGGCTGCTGCTTCCACTCAGCTCTGTGATTCCACAGTTGTCCTGCAGGGCCTGTAGGGGTGCAGGCTCCCTTGGTGCTGGAATACCAGGGTGTCCCCGACCCGCCTGAGTGCTGCATGGCCACCAAGGACATCCAGGAAATCCACACTGGGAGACTTTCCCTGGGCTGGCAGCCCGACTGGGCCAAGTCCTGCTGGACCAGGGCTTTGGGGCAGCCGTCAACAGGGTGACCGCCAGCCCTGCAGGAGACATTTGAGAGCTGCCTTTCAGACGTGATGACATCAGTACTGTTTCATGTTTATTAAATTTTTTTAAATGTAATCTGTATAACTTTTTTATGGGATATTCATTCCATTTAATTTCTTCCCCATTCATTCATTCATTCATTGTTGCACATGTTCCTCCCTGTCTACCCCCTCCCCCAGTCAGTTTTTCTCTTTGAAAAGACAAATTCTTTCATTGTTATACAATACCCCCAAAAGTCCAGAGTCCCATTTATTAAGCAATTCTTTTTCTGTAATCTTGTCATGAAAAGAATTGTTGTTCTTGTTATGCTTAAGTGCCGTCATGTCACAGGCGACTCACAGCGACCCTATGAAGGAGAGTCCTCAACGCTGGGTGTCTCTCATCCTCTCTGCAGGTTCATAGGGTTTCCGGAGACAAGCTATTGCGAAGTGGATGCCACTCCTTCCAACATGAAAAGAATACCTACTCCTATATTCCTTTTAAACAGTTCTCTCTCTCATCTGCTTCAGTGCACTATACATCATTTATCCCTGCTTCTCTTAGGTTCACTCAACCCTGATGTCAGTCTCGTTTTACATCAGTGGTGCTATGTAACCTTTGTCCTTTTGTGAGTAAGATATTTCACATTTATTTCACATGCAAAGAAGACTCTACTGAAGATTATCCAAAAACGATTAGAACAGCACA